TGATCGCTGAGAAATCCAATAGAGTGAGTCATATATTTGAGAAAGAGATATTTTATTTTCACTGTTTTGCTTGAAAATAAGAATAATACTTATGCATTGAAACCTCAGGTTTATGCATACCCAGTAAGTAATTTTATTCCAGCCTGGCTAGCTGGCCTACTGACATGCATTTTCACCACTGCTAAAAATAATGAGGAATCCGAGTGACACACATTTATGGCTAGGAGTGCCATCAGATCCCTTGACCTAATTGAGCATGCCTACACACCTTAGAGTGTTTTGCATAACCAACTTAGACAGCAGGAACATTTCCAACCAGATTGATTGACATATTTTATTTCTAACTTAAGCTTAATCAGGACCAAGAATGATTCATTTATACCTTTCAAACTTTGGGAATTGACACAGGAGACAACCAAGCTGCAGACTCCAGTGTAAGCAATCACTCAAAGGAAAAAAATATAGATTAATATATTTTATTAGTCTACTTAGCTGCTGTGGTTGATGTAATGAAATTAATTAGCTGGTAGGGGGGAGTTACTTTATTTTATAAAATAAATGTCAAACTAGATTTTTTGCAGGAAAGGTTCTGCCCAAATCCCTCCACCACTAAGGATTTATCTGAAGTCATGCACCAAATGTAGAGCTATTGTAAGGTGCAGTTTGATTTTTTCAGGAACCAGCCAGACAAGAGATCATCTCCCAGCAATAACCACATTGACTCTCAAATTGGAAGAGTTTCCGGCTTTTAAGGTGTAAAGTACCTTCAAATAAATATCAGCGGTTTCCACGTGCCATGCCTTAAACAGGAACAAAGCCTAATAGAATAGACTGTAATAAAAGTGCTATTTCCAGCATGTGTGTATGTGGCTGCTCTACTCTGCAAATGTCCTTTAGCACTTTTTAACCATATTCTCTAGTGTGTCAGCAAAGAGACTCCATCAGAGTATTTAGCATTGCTGGGAGCAAAGGAATAAAGTGGAGTCACTGTTGATTATTACTCATTAGCCACAAGGACATCCACTTAACATGTGAATAAGTGAATGACACCATGTCCTAATGGAAATGGCCTCAGTGTACCTTTAAGCAAAATGTTGTTTAATATCTTCCATTTGCTGAATAGTAAAGAGGCCTGTTGGACATGCACAGCTAGCAAGCGGCCATTGTTGCTTTGTTCCAATTTCAGCATTTAATAAAAAAAGATGTTGTCTTGACTGCAGAAAAGCCGGGCCTCAAAACCCTGGGTGGCAGCACAGGCTTGTTCTCATCCTGCAAATTTAGAATTTCACTGGCATCCTAAAGAGTTAATGCCCATAAAGCAAATGAAGCCTTAGAAGGTACATGTTCTTCATTATTCTGCTTTACATTCAAACATATAAAACAAAGAACATCTGATATCTTTATTGGTTTTCTTAGATAAAACACAAGCAAGCTATAAGCCTTAATTTTCTTATTACCATTTGTTAACAAGGAAGATAACACTCTCAAAAGTACTTGATTAGGGCTCCCTTTGATTTGTATCTTGTTATGATTACCAGGGCATATATTTTTGTATTATTACTTTAGTACACTGATAGTTTGGATCAAAGTGATAAAAAGAGGTATTTTAAAAGTGTAAATATTAACCATACAGGTAAACCACATAATCTGAACAGCATCTTGAACACTGACATTCTGAAATACACACTGGGAAACCAGTAATAGCTGAGATACACATTCCTATCTGGAAAGCTGGTCGTCTGAGATGGAGGAGCCCTTTTGCTCCCAAACCCTTTCAACAGCAACTTACATACTTGATATTTTATATTGTTTTTGATACGTTTTAACTACTGAGGATATAGGATTGAAGATATTTGCTATATCACATATCTAAATTCTCGTGATAAGAATCCAGACCACATACATCTGTTCTTACGGGAATAAACCAGTTTTAACTATCTAAGGAAAACAACGGCACGTGCATCAGCTAACGTGAAAGACTGGGGAGGGTATTTTAATGCATGTTCTGATGCCTGATTGTGAAAATTGTGCTGGATCTTTTCCTTACTCTTGTGATTTGCCTGCATAACAGCTCTCTGCGCTGGAAGTGGCTCAGTGGTGTTTCCCAGCTCCCAGGGCTTTCTGCTGCCTTATCCCGGGCCGTGATGGGCACTTTGGCTGCGGTGAATGGGGACCCTGACACGGCCCGCTACGCCCGGCCGGCCGCTCCCACCAGAACTGGGTCTGACAAGTTGGAAGTCTCTTTCTACTGCCTCCTCCTCCTCCACCTCCTCCTCCTCCACCTCCTCCTTCTTCTTCTCACCGACGCTTCCTCCGGCCGGCCCCGCGCAGACAGGGAGCGAGCGGGAGATGATTACATCAATCAGTGTCAGGGCTGGGAGCTGTGATTTATGAATATGCATAATGAGCTCTCACCTTTGAGAAGGACTAGCTAGGGAGATAATTGATTAGACAGGAAAAGAGCAGCCAACAGAGAGGGAGAAGGGAGAGGGAGGCCTCTGTGCTGTCTCAGGCAGGCCTGGCTGGGGCTCAGCGAGGCTGTCAAACTGAGAGAGATTTCTGAAAAAAACAAAACAAAAAAAATATGCGTCGGATTTTTAATGTTTTGTTGAAACACGCATAACAAAATGTTTCCTCACAAAATTAATGGGAATTTTCTCCACATTAGGGAAGCCAGGCAGGCACAAAGGCTGCTTTCCCCCTGCAGGGAAACCAAGTTCTCACTTCCAGAAGCCAAAGGAGCAGCTTTCCCATGGCTTCCACGCTGCTGTTGCAGAAGTATCCCCATGGTCAGAGTGAAGGGAGAGGGCTCTGCAGGAACAGGGAGCTGAGGGCCTCTGTGCAAAGGCAAAGGAGCCTTTAATGGAAGTAGAAAGCTGGGGATGCAATTGTTTTCCCATCATGGTTGCATTATTTTCTTCCATCCCCTTTAAGCATCTGTCTGGCCCCTGTGTGAAAGTTTCTATGGAAAACCCACCAGGATGCCCAGAGGAAGGGGATGTGGAAATTTGCCTCTAGCTTTCTCTCCCCCCACCCCTCCCATTTTGGATGCCATTAATCTTTTTCTTTTTTTCTTTTTTTTTTTCTTTTTTTTTTTTTTTTCCTCAGCAAGAATTGGCTAAGGAAAAAGAGAGATACAAAGTGCAGAGAGACTGGATAAAATTTACATGAGAAACGATCTGTTTTCTTACCCCCACCCACAGAGATTCCCCCATTTCAGGAGCCTGTCGGAGTGAGAGTGGGAACAGTTCCTGGCAGAAAGACAGAAGCTGTATGGGTCTGTAAAGAGGCAAATGCTGTTTCTAGGGTGAGCTGTGGCCAGAAAGGACATATGGGGAAAGGAAGAGGACGCAGGGAGGGAAAAAGCAGCGATCACAACACTGCCACAAACTCTGTGTGTCCCTTCCCTGGCCTCCTTTGCTCACAGCCATTACTAACAGCAGCCAGGGAGGCTGCAGGGCATACCAGGAGAGGGGTGTCCTCTCCTGGTATGGAGAGTATTAATTGTGAAACATTAAAACACTATATAAAAACGTGTATATACATGCACACATATAGTGTAAACACATATATAAATCTTATCACTTACAAACGCCTAGGATTTAAAATGTAGTTTATCGGTCTAGTGCAACCCAATCCTATAAATAATACATTCCTATCACTATGACCTCAAAATGTCAATACCGCACAGCCCTGCACATTTGCATATCTTGTACTGTCTAAACTTGAAGCATGTCAGCTATGTGCTTCTGTTTGTACTTTAACTTCATTTTAACTCTTGCTTCCTAGCTCTGAGCACCCTCCCCCTCTGCGAGGTCTGTCACCAAAACGAGAAAAGCACCAGCTATTTAATCACCACCACTATAATTATGCCGTTTCCAAGACTGTAGGAGAGGACAGGTAGGGGGTAGAGAATGAAAAGCTTGGAAACAAAAGCAGGAGGGAGCCGGCTCACAAGATCTACCTGCCCGAGCTGCCCCTCAGCCGGGGGGGGATGAGCACGGACATCGGCGGCTGCACGGAAGGGGAAGGGAGGAGGGAGCAGCCCTCGCCCTCCTACCAACACTCCCCTTGGGATGGTTTCCGAGCGGGAAGAGATCTTTCCCGGATCGGGCCGATTTCCAGCACCTTGCCGGGGAAGCGAAGTTACAAGTTTCGGAGGCGGCGGCTCCCGGGGCGAGGCGCGCAGAGGCGCAATCGGCACCTCCCGGCTCCGGGAGGCGGCGGTCGGGCCCGGGGGCGGCGGAGCGCACAGCCCGCGGGTCCGAGGCGGAGCGGGGCTCCCCCCGGGGCTCGCCGCTCGCTGCCCCCGTTCCGGCCGCTACCTCCCGCCCGAATGCCAAGCCCCGGGAGCGGGGGGGACGCCCCGGCCCCGTCGGTTTGGGCAGCTCCCCGCTCGGCGGCACAGAGAGCCTGCGGCGAGCACCCTAAAACTGACCCCCGGGATGCGCGAAAGCAGGAGGGGAGGGGGCGACAGAACTGCGCTGCCGACCCGCGGCGACACCACCGACCCCTGAAGGGTCCTTTCAATCAACCGCCCCTCGGCTCCGCGCTGCCCTGCGCTCCGCGGGGGTGCACCGGGGGTTAATAGCGGCACCCGGTAATACGCTCCGCGGGGGCGATGGATCATCTGCCGGCTTCCCCCGGAGCCGCGCACCGGGCGGCGGCGGCGCCTGCAGGGGGCGCTGCGGCTCCAGCGATGTCGCCGCCGCCGCAGGAAGCGCGGCCCGGCCCGGCCCCGCCGCTGACCCGGCCCGGCCCGGCCCGGCCGCCCGCGCTCCGCCCGAACGGGGCCGCGCAAAAACAGCAAAACACACCGGGAACGGGGCGGGACCACGCGAGGAAAACAACCCCAGAAGGGGGGAAGCGAGAGTGTAGTCAAAGTGGCAACAGTTTATTTATTAGCCAAAAATATATACTTTCTTGTACAATTTGGTTCACACATATGTACATTTTTACGGTATGTACAAAAACAAACAACAACAACAACCCAAAAAAAAAAAAAGAAAAGGGGGAACACGTAATTCTCACTGGACTTCCGAAAAAAAAAAAATCTCACAGCTCTGGTAACCCAGGTGATAGTACAGAAGCGGGTATTTTTTTCCTTTTGAGTTTTAATATACGGACATGCTTACAAGTTGTAACTATACAGAGATTTTTTACAATCATTACAACAACAATAAAAAATTAACTATGATGATGAGAGCGCCGATAGAACCATAGCGGCGTCAAGTTGGTTCTGGGGCCTGGAAAAAAAAATGACACAAAAAAAAAAATATTTAATAGGCTTTCTAATGAGCTTGGGCTGGCACAATATTTCTAACTGCAGGTAGCTCTGGTTTTGTTGTTGTTGTTATTATTTTAATAGATTTATAAATATAAAAAGTTTTCAGAGTGACTTGTAAATGTATTTAGCTACGAAAACACGGCGGGCCCGATCCCCGTGGTTTCAATCAATCAAAAGGGTAATTGGTTTCTCATTGAAACTGAGTGACTGCTACGCCAAATTTGGGACGGCAAGGCTCAGCCTCTTCAGCTTTCATACTCTGGATGGGTTTTTGTTTCGCTTTCATTATCATTAATATTATTTTTATTAATTTTTTTTAATATATATTTTATTTTACTATTTTCTGCTGCCTCGGTGCCTCTCCCCCCAGCAAAGCGACAGCGGCGAGTGGCGATCTGCTCTGCGGGAGGCTCAGGGATGTGCTCCCGGGCCGGGGGCGACCCGCGCCCGGGCTCCGCAGCCTCGCAGCCCGAACGCTCCCGAGCGCAGCTCGGCCTGCCCGCGGGAATCGCTCCCGGGGGCCACAACGGAGAGCAGCAAAGAAAATATATAAACAGAATAACCCACCGAGCACGCAGAGGAAGAACAAAAAACCGCCCTGGAAAGGGAACCTAAAGAAGCGGAGAAAATAAGCTAACCATTTACAACTGCCTCCATACATCCCGAGGAGAGGGAGGGAGCCATCTCTTACCGCCTCTGCACTGGCTGGAAAGCTGTCTTTAGTAACTTTTTCTCTACTTCCAAGGCACTAGATCGATCTAAAAAGAGAAGGGGGGGAAAAAAAAAAAAAAAAAGCGTTCCTTTTTAGCCCCTGTTTTATTCATCCCATCCCTGAATTAAGCCTCGAGATTTAAGCTCATTTCTCGGCGAGTTGCAAATACGACAGACACAACGACTGCTCTGCTTGCAGAGGTGACCGTCAGAGAAAGCACACTGACCCCGGAGCGAGCCTGACCTGGCGGCCGGGTCCTTCCCGCAAAAGCGACAACAACAGCAACAAAAATTATCTCCGTTGGAGGAAGGTAATTGTCGGGGATCGAGACTACCCCGGCCAGGAGACCCCCGCCACCGCCCCCGGGGCCGCCCGCCCGCCGCCACCTGCACCCCGACGGCTGCTCCGCGCCGGGCCGGACCGCGCCGGGCCCGGGGCACCGTCAGAACCGCGCCGGGCCGGGGCCCCCGCCGCACGAACACGGCCCCGCGAGGCCTCCCGCGCCGCTCCGCTCCGCTCCGCACCGCCGAGCCCCCGCGGCGGCCGAGGCCCGGCCCGTCCCCGCCGCGTCCCTCAGCGGTCACCTGCTCCGACGGGCTCCGCGCTCTGCGCCTGGTCCGCGGGCCGCGGGAAGGCGGCGGCGGGGGGGGCGGCGG